GAGGAGTTTTGCGGGGGTCTATCAGTGAGAAAATTTTTGAACTCCTTTTTTGTACTATCGAATGATTTTAGCGCATTGCATGTGGTTCAACAGACGAAAGAAATACTATACTACAAAATACCTGCAAAAACATTCTGCGTTGTTCGATCAGTTGGATCTCGTCACATATGAAGAGGTACATCCTTTTCCTTTGCTGCTGCTGGATGATCTCTTAATTAAGGTCATGCGATTATCGCAGTATCGACGGAAAACTCTTGTACTACTGGGAGCACATGGTGTGGGACGACGACACATCAAAAATACACTTATTCATCGGCATCCGAATAAATTCGCGTACCCTATACCTCGTGAGCAGAGAATCTTCGAACTGAATTGTTATCGCAATTATTTTCATTTAGATACCACAAGGCCCCCGCGAAAGGAAGAAGTTGATGGAAAACATTACTTTTTTGTCTCCAATGATCAAATGCTCATTGATATTCAAAACAATGAGTACCTCGAATATGGTACCCATGAAGAAAGTTGGTTTCGGTCAGTAATTGCTACAAATGCAAATGGCTAAGTGTTTAGGCATGTACGGCACGAAGCTGGAGACGATTCGTAATATACATAAAAGTGGCAAAGTAGCTATACTGGATGTAGAACCACAGGCACTAAAGGTGAATCACTTCCAAGCTTTCTTTACATAGTGCCAATTTCAAGTTTTCTTTCGTAAAATGTTTTGCCGCATGGAAAATGCTTAGTCATTGAACAGAACAGATTGGCTGTTGACTGCGTGTTACAAAATATGTGATCACGCTGTAAGGTTGTGGGACCAAAGCAGCAGTGAATTATTGATTTGGCATGAAAGTCCTTTCGTAGGTTTTTAAAAATTCATAACAATGATTCTTAACCGATTTGCACGTGTTCATTTTGAAAGAGGAAATCTTGTTTTTTCTAATACTACTTAACTTTGTTAGAATTAAGGTCTGGTGTTCGTAGCCGGAGAACAATATTATTCATTTTTCGAGTTCTCTATTCGGTCGTGAAAATGTAAAATTTGCAACAG